ATCCATATATGTTCGTGGTTATGTATTTATATATACATGTATATATGCATTCACACACGCACGCACGCACAACGCACGCACACACACGCGCACACACACGCGCGCGCACACACGCGCGCACACACGCGCGCGCACACGCGCACGCACACACACACACACACACACACACACACACACACACACACACACACACACACACACACACACACACACACACACACACACACACACACACACACACACATACACTTCATATATATATGTACATATATATATAAAGTATATACATATATACATATATATATATATATATATATATATATATATATATATATATATATATATAAAGTATATACATATATATATATATACATATATATATATATATATATATATATATATATATATATATATATATATATATATATATATATATATATATACATAAATATATATACAATATATATATATACATACATATATATACATACATACATATATACACATATTTAGATATTTTAGTGTGTTGGTGGGTGTGTTGAAAAAAAGAAAATATATAGACAGACACAGTGTATACAAAAAGATTTTTATAAACATTTTTACTTCTTTTTGCCTTCTCTACTGACTTGTGACATAAGATATTGAAACAACAGTAAGAAATAATAGTTATCCCCAAGAATGTTTAGTATATTCAGCTTTTACAATAATAAAAAAATGTAGTAATGTCTGATGTTTTACACAAATAAATAATATGGATTAATTATATAAAAAAAACACATTATTATCACTGTTATGATTATTTGCACATTCACTTTTTTATGATTTTAATGAGTAACAATTAGCCCATATATAATTTTTACTTGATTGCCAATAGATATTTTTTGTAGTTTTTTGTTTTCATTTTTTGTCTGAATGCCATGGTATTACCAAAATATTTTTATGGCTGTCATAAATGGAAGCTAAAATCTGTTCATGAACTCCATTTAAATTTTGGGCAATTGCTAACAGTCATGTTCAATTTCACATATTTTCAGTGATATGAGTATCTACATTCTTTCAGTTTCATTACAATTTTGAAGAAGGATAGCTCAGAAATATATGACAAGATTTATGATAAACTAGAAGTCACCCATAAACAGTATCATTATATACTGGTATCTTCTATAGGAAGAGAAAACCACTACCTTAACCCATTCGCCACGGATTTATGTTCTGTCCCCTGTTGGTTTTGGTGAATTTTGCTACCTACAGATGGCTCCACATGTACTCAGCCGGCAAGGAGTCTATCAGTAGGCCCTAGTTACCGACCCTGATTTTCCCATTCATTGAATTGGCGGAAAAATCAATATCATTGCTTTCGATGCTGTTATTATTGTTACTGATGTTATGATGATTGAATTGTCATTAGAATATTTTTGACAATAAGAGGATACAAAAAACCCTTTCCGAA